GAGAAGATAAAATATAATAATAATATGTAAAAAATATATGTATATTAAGAAATTTGAAAAACTGCGTTTTTCAAGTGGACTATGGGGAAGAATATAAAACTATTAAATGAAAAACGTAGGGTACATCACTCTCGTAAGATGGAGGAGAATTTTTAGTAATGATATAAGTTAATTACGAAAGCGATGTGCCTTACGTTTTTTGTTTTATATAGGTTGGACAGGACAAAAAAATATAATTATTTTCTCTTTCTTAGTCCCCTTGAAAAATATGGTTTTCAAAAAAATTATAATATTTAATTAATTTCTTCTTTTTATTTTTTGTCTAATTGTTATGTTGAAGAGTGGTCGAAATTTTGAGTGCTGATCAGCTTTGACCATAATATCGTGAAAAATTTTGCTTTGAGCAGAAAACTGATGGAAACTTTTTAAACTACAATTGGCAACCAGAATGGAAATCCATTTGAGATTTGTACACTCGAACTGATATAGTAATCAGAATTTTGACGATAAGCTTCATTTGGCTACAAAAAAAAGGCAATAAATTTCGCTTATCACAATCAGAAAACTACTGAAACATGTATTGCTTACATTTGAATACCTAGTTAATCATGAAATGGTCAAAATTTTGATTGACCGTAAATCTTTAAAACTTGTCAGCGCAGTAGCTACGATGAAAATTTTAATACTCCAGATCAGTGATTCTCAGCCACTGTGCCGCGGCACTTTTGTGTGCCTCCAAATTCTTAAAATGTGCCGCCAAATATTGGAAATGATTCAATAAAAATTATAATGCTTTTTTTTAATTATGAGTAAAGTTTTATTTTATTTATTATTAAAGAGTTGTATTTATATATATATAGATACTTTTATAATTTTTCCACGCTTTAACAGCGTGAACATCTTTGTCGGCGATTGTATTGTCTCTGACAATCTTAAAATAAGATGGAAGTGCTTGAATTGTATGTGACACACAATTTTAAAAAATGTTGTAAGAGCTAATCATTAAAGTAAGCTATGCGATTAATAAACAAATTAACAAAGGATAACTAAAAAAAAAAAAAAAATTTTTACCACAAAAAAATAACAGTTAATAATTATAGAAAACAAGCTAACAATTATTAACTAGCAAAAAAATAACTGTTACTAACTAATAAAAAATTGGTGGAAAGAAATAATTAATCCCTTAATAAATGTGCTTTTGTAGTACATATTATTTTATTTCACATTCAAAATTATTATCACAAACTATTTAACACAGTGTAAAAAAGGTAATTAAACAACTTTTAATCTAATTTTCTTCATTGTGTACCGTCAAATTTCGAAATCGTTAAAAGTGTGCCGCAACAAAAAAAAGGTTGAGAATCACTGCTCTAGATAATCAGAAAGTGGTCGGAGTCTTGATTGGCAATAAAAGGACAAAAAATTCTGCTTTTGAATAACTGTCAGGAATCAATTGAAAATTGTGTTGTCACCCAGCACACAGCTCCAATAGAAATTGGAGTGATCTCACTAGTCTGAAAGTGGTGGGAGTTTCGATTGATATTGAATTGATTGATATTGTTAAATTGCCTACTTGTAGCTATCAGGATATCATCATATCTGCTTGTGGCATCAGTATCTCATCATCATATCTACTTGTAGCAATCAGAAAAATATTAAAACTTGAATGGTCGTAAAATGGTCGAATTTCGATTGCAAGATTCCATTGCCCTTTACACGTATTTAAATATACTTGAATTTTGATTTCAAAATTTCCTTAGAATAAATTAATGGAATGACTTCAATCGGATGCTTGCAACTCGAGAAGAAGACGATCACTGATACACATGCACGTTACCTATGACCTCAGCTCCAGCTAATCTTTTATAAACAAGATGGCGTGTTAAAGTCGGGCTAAGTTTCTCCACATAAGTTAGAATGTTGTTTAACGTGAAGTTTCTTAAACACAACGCCGTATCACAGATCGAAATTGTTTAAATATAATTCTTTTTTTCGTGTACGTCTTTTACTGAACTTCGATTTATTATTTTTTATGTATTTTATTGCAACCGTGATATCTTTTTGTTTTGCATACTTGTCAACTTCGATGCATAATTAGTTTATCAATGTTCTACATGGCTCCGTGCCTGTCTTTGTGTTAAGTACGAAAGAATTGAAATCTTTGTGAAAGAATAAAGAATGTGTCACCTAAGAGAATTGAAACTGGATGGGCTCAGTTTACTTGAAATAAAATGGAAGAGAACAATTGCTAACGTAAACAAATGCCACGTTTCAACAACCAATCAGGATCGAGATACCCGCACTACGTCATTTGCAGGCATCCCATTGCCTGGAAGCAGACAGTTGCTAGTAACACTTAATACATTTAATAATAATGATAATACTTCTTTTTCTTTCTTAATAATAATTTTCTCCGTTTATTCTATCCATAATATTCGTGCCAAAAAGCCAATGAAAAATGCAAAACAACTCCGTCAATACATTTTAAGTAAATAGAAGTCCTATTTTAAAGCTAATTCATAGTACAATTTTTCATGGGATTGAATTTAATGAAGCCTGTATAGGTCCACTTGTAAAAATTTATATAAAGCTCTCTGAGCTTAGTACTTCTCTTGTACTTGAAAGTATTTTCCGTACTTTCTGATAGACCAATTAAAATATTTTGCACCTATTCTATATTAAACTCAAAGACCACTTAAGGAATGCAAAATTTTAATGGTACTGCTATTGGTAGTTTAAAAAGTTCCCAATTCTCGGTCAAAAAGATACGAGACATATAAAAAATTGTCACGAATATGAAACAAACCATCACTAAATATAGATTATAGTGCTGCCATCTATGAAATTGAGTTGAAAATAAATTTATCATTGAACCTAATCCTATTGTAAGTAACCTTTACTTTAAATTTATTGAATAAGTAGAAGAATCACAAAATGTATTAGATGTAGAGGAATTCATTTCCTTCCTTTCGTATCGTTGAATATTCTTGCAATTTTCCAAAAATTTTTTAAATTACAGTGCTGCCCTCTATTAAGAAAGAGTAAAAATAAATATTTAATCAAAACAGGATCCAAACTAAATTTTACGAGTAATTAATTGAATAAGAGACTGTACTCACAAAAATTAGTAAAAAATTTATTTCACATAATTGATAATAATATCCCTCATTAAATCCAAATGATAGATATGATTTCAAATTATATCCATCATTTTTATTTTAATAACCAATTTATAAGAACAAAATTATAATAATTTCTACTTATCACTTTTATATTTTTATGCATTGAGCAATAAATATATCCAATAAGAATTTTACTCAATATCTCCAGAACTTTCTCACATTGAGTAAAAATGCTTAATGAGCAAAAGAAACTTAGGGGAATATCTGAAATTAATTAATTAATAATTTCATAAGTTGTTTTTTTTATCAGTTTTATTTATTTATTTTTCATTTAAATATTTTAAAACTATGCATAGAAAAATATTGTTAAGCCAATGGGGGAAAAACTTTAATGATTTTGATATCCATGAGTACTCTATTCAATACACTGTTATCACTTCAATTTGAAAAATTATAGATGTTGATAAATATGAGTATGCTAGTTAAGTGTCGCTTAATATCACACATTAAGTTATAAAATAAGGTACACAAAAAACGTGTTTTATTAACATAAAAGTTATTTTTTTCCTTTTGATTTAAAACCCTTAGATGTACTTTTTATTCTTAGCAATTTTTATTCTTAGTATTATCTATAACTAGTGAAGAGGATAAAAAAAAAACACCTGTTCATTCATTAAGTTTAGTTCCTCGAATCAAAAATTTAAACATTTTTTAGAGCTTACTGTTCTTAAAATATATCAGTTATTATTTAGTTAATAAAATTAACATCAAAAATTATTTTTTAAAAAAATTTAAAAAGAACTTTTTATTTGCACAATTAGCTCTACAGATAAGATGTGTAACCAAAAAAAATTTGAAACAATTTATAGAGAAGAAAAAAGTACTAGAATTTCTAGGTCATTACAAACTGAAATACAAATAAATGGTATAAATTGTATAATAACTTTGTACGCAAGATTAATCCCGAACTTCCCATACAATTTTAGAAATTATTCTAAGTTTTCAAGAATTTTATTCAGCTATGTGTAGACTTAGTCAAGATCACAACAGTAACTATTACTAAATAATTTAATGCACTAGTTTTAATTGAAACCAAAAATATTTTGTATTGTTTTAATTTTAACTTTAGTTTTTTGCGATGGTCAAAATTTTAATTTTAACAATAAAGCACAAAATATCATTTATTAACAAAAAAAGCATGTTCCTAACATGGCCAATACACCTTTTCAACACAATTTATTTTATTTATTTATTTTCATTGGGAAGTAAGGTTTACTGGAAAGTTAATGTTAAATTTTGATAAATGGCCTATGCACAGTTCTGAAAATATCAGAATTATTGAAAGCATAATATATCATACATTACGCAATTTACCGACAGAAATGAAGACTAAAATTAGCACACCGGCAAGACTTCGTGTTTTATGACTACAAATCACTGCCTAGTTCATCCCTAACTCAACAATAGTTATTAAAGCTTGTGTAAGGTGTTTACCAACACTATCACCTTTATCTTTAGATCTCTCATCCTTTTTTTCCCAAATATTTGGTTTTAAAAAAAATTTTTATTTTTTTGATAAAAATAAAACTTATAAAAAAGAATATTTGAAAATTCTGAGAGGGTAATTTTCAAGTTTCCTAAAAATTATAGAAAGATCAGGGAACAAGATGACACTAACATAATTTGGTAAATACAACTAAAATTTAAATGTACAACATTTCAATTTTCATTAAAAATTCAAATATATCTGCACAAACTTTCCAAACAACCTATTAGTAAAAAAAATTAAAAATATTACAAAAAGGCTTAATTTTCACCTTCTTTCGTTTCGAAATAAATGCTTTAAGGAAAATCAAGATGAATCAAATAAACATACACTTTTTTCTGTATTGCAAAAATTTATTGAACAAATACTACAATACAAAAATGTAAAACATATTTGTTATGATCTGTACATTCATAAAAAATTATCACTACAGATGTTAAGTAATAAATTGTTCCCATTAAATTGTAAAATTAAATAAAATTGTTCACAAACATTTAAAACCTTATCAAAAATAAAAATTACGAAATTTTAACAAGTTTGTTCTGGAATTGACAATTGCCAAGGCAATGCTACGTCACAAATATGAAAGATTGTTCTATTTGTCCATAAATTGAGAACATTTTTAAAGTTAACTCCTAACAAATGTATTATGAAAAATAAAATAGTAATTGAACACTGATGATGTAAATATTTCTCCAAACATTACTCTCCACTAAATGCAAAATAAGTTTGTAAAAGTGCACTTTAAAAGTTTTGCTGCAAGTTTAGTAAAATTACATTTAAAACATTAAATGTTTTATTTTTCAAACTTGCATATTCATTCAGTGTGTATATTGTTTATAGAAAATAGTAATATTGGGATAATATATAGACTTCTAAATAGAATGCTATAAGCAATTTAAATAATTTAACATTTAACATTAAATTGACAACAATTATTCAATAACAATTAAAAACATTGATTTTTTTTTTTATTTTAGTATATATTCAACAAATACCAATAATACTAAAATAAAAATATTCTAATGATTCATCATTTTTATTTAATATAGTTCGTATCTTTACAAATGAATCAAAGTTTGAGATCATAATAATCCTGTTATTATAATATTTCAACTGATTCAATTTGTAAAAATGTTGATTATAATATTTAAATTAATTTTTATGCTAATGAAAAATCATCAGATAAAATTATGAAAATTATTGGATAAGAATTAAAAAAAAACAAGCCCGTGAATAAATTAAGATATTTCTGAAAAGGTAAAATTATCAGTAAAAAAAAATTCTTTAAGCAACTTTTTTTTGTTTGATGTAATAAACAAAGACTAACAATACTGAACAAAATAATCCTGCCATTTTAGATTTCGTAAATGTTCCATTTGTAAAAAAAAAATATTAATTTTTAAACACTTATAAAAAATATTTTGAAAACATTATAAAAGCATTGGATAACAATCAAAAAAATTAACTAATTTATTTTGGATTGGGCTTGTAAGGTTTCTCAATTATGAAATAATAATTGAATTACTTCAATAATTCAAAAAGGTACAATAATAAAATAATCTATGGATTTTTTTTTTTAAATTACGAAGCACTAATAATACTGAAATAAAAATATTCTAAAGAATTTTTTTTCAAATTAATATAGTTTAAATCTTTACAAATGAAGTACTTAAATCAAAAGTTAATTTGAGATCATAATAACCCTGTTATATGTCTTTAAGTTATTCAATTTGTAAAAACCTTGATTATAAAATCTATATTAATTTTTAAAGCAGTTTCAAACACTTTAAAACACTTATGAAAAATATATACAGTTTTAATACATAAAAGTATATAAAAAATAATTTTGTTCAAAATTAAAAACAGTTTAACAGCATGCCTACTAACAATTGAATCATAAAGAGTACAGAAGTACATATATATTAATATAAAAATTTTCTATAAAGATTGTAACAACAATGAAATATTGCTTTACAATAAAAACCCAACTTTCTAACAATATACAATGTGATGAATTTACAAATGCATCATAAATACAATGATTCCTTCTTTCTATTTAAAATGAGCATTTACAATGAACAAACATTTTTTTACATTTCATGCACATTAAAATCGATTCAATTTTAATTAAATGGCACAATTATAATTGCTCTATTCAACAAGTGCAAGATATATTCAAGACAAAATACTTATTGTAAAAAATAAAGCTAGCTCAATTTTTTTAAAATCTTTAGCGAATATAGTCTTAGGAAAATTAGTGGCTTAGAAAAAATTGTAAGGTATTCAGCATAAGAAATTTAATAAATTTCTGCCATCACAATGTACAAAATTATGCGCCGATTTGTAATTTAAAAACAACAAAGCTGCATACTTAAAACAGTTAGAAAACATAAAACGAATGTTTTTAACGATTCATTTTTTCGACTTCAACACTGAATGCAAATACTTATTATAGTTTTTTAAAAAAAAGAGGCATTTTTCTAATTTCACATAAATTAAACATACAATTAAACTTTAACAATGAGTGATTCACTGACAAAATAAAATCTATTTACAATTCCTGCTGTATATAGAATAAATATCTTAAATACACAACTTGAACATCAGAATGTATTTCTGTAATGTGCGATAGTGAATACAGCATATCCAGGCACTTGGAAAACAGATAATTTACATTTTTAAAAAAGTATCTTAAATGAACACAGCGTCAGGAGATTGCACAATGGGCGTAGGCCTGGCATTAGTAGTTTTTTTATGCTGTAAATGTTCTACAGTGTGCTGTTGGAGATGAACATTGTGCCCAGTAGGACTGGCTATACTCTCTGACCAATCAGAGGCAGAGTGGGGTGAAGAGCTGGACCATTGCCCAGGAGATTCTGGGGACGGAGTTAAATAAGTCTCTGGAGGATGATGATAAAGTGGCGTTGATTCACCACCATTAGAGCTGTGTTGAGATGGGGGTGTGGGATAAGTATATATCTGAGGATACAGAGGTGGTGCTAAATTGTTTCCAGTACTCTGCAAATCTGCAGATGGTTTAGGATAATCATAAGTCAAGTTGCCCCCACCCTGGGTATGAAACTTAGTAGTTCGCTGATGATGTGCAGTCCTCATAGCTGCCATATGTGTGGGTGATGTAAGCAAACCAGGACGCTGCTTACTAGGAGACACTGATCTGAAAGGTCGAGGAGGTGGCACAGGATTTTTAGCTGGCACGGAATTGTGCCTCACATGACGAGCGGGTACGTTAGGTGGACACTGATCTGTATAAGATGGTCGAGAAGTGACATAACTTAAAATATTATTCAAATCACCATATCCTTCCCTAAACGAAGACAAATGGTCATAAGAAGGTACTTGATGATTGCCTGCATTGGTCAGTTGTGTGTAAATTGGTTCTGAACTGTCCATGCCACCTTGGGTGAGAGCAGTAGGGGATGTGAGAGAATTCGGAGAAAGCGAAGGTGAACCATCCATGCCTGGAAGACCCATGTGAGAGATATCTTTGCGTCGTTTTACAGATGGCTTTCGTCTAAGGTTGGCATTAACTGTAGAATCACTGTTGTCCCTGAGAGCTGAAGAGTCATTGCACAACTTGTTCTTTCTTTTCGTTTTGGATTTGGTGGATCCATGCATACCAAGTAAAAACAGTGGAGAACCCTCTTTGAATTGTCGGTTGGTCAAATGAGCTGTAGAAGGGATAGAGCCTTCAAGCAACTGTACAATGTCATTATGAGAACGCTCCCTTGCAATATGGATTGGTAACCTGTCCATGTGGTCTGTTATTTCCTTATTCGCAAAATGTTCAAGCAGTATTCGAGCTGCTTCCAAGCTTCCTTCTCTTGCAGCTAGAAAAAGAGGAGTTTCTTCTTTCTCATCTTGTGCATCCTTATTTGCACCATGGGAAATAAGTAAATGTACTGCATCAACATTATTCACAGCAGCTGCCCAATGTAAAGCTGTTTTACCTACAAATAAATAAATTTTGCTTTTAATTACTTATTCCAATTATCAACATAGCTAGAGGGAGATAAATGTAGTAATTATAAAAGTAGTGAAACTGTGAGGATTTAATTATCAACTACATCAATTTTCATCTATCAAAAGGTACCGCGAGATAAAATCGAGCTAACAAGTCTTACATACTACTGAATTGGTACTGAATATTAGTAGTGGTAGTTACGCCACAAAACAATAAATATTAAATTCCTTACCATAGGTATCAGAAGCATTGACATCGCATTCAGCATCCAACAATAACTGAACCATATTCTCTATTGCAAGGCGTGTTGCAAGTATTAAAGGAGTTGTGCCATCGTTCATCTTTGCATTTAAATCAGTAGCTCGATTCCTTGCCAAAATCTGTAGAGAAAAAAAAGAATTTTCTCTTAAAAGTGGAAAAATATGCATAAAAAACATTTTATTTAAAAAATTTTACAAAAAAAAATTACAATTGATTCTCATAAAGGGTTTAGTTTCTAGTAATTTACACTAACATGATTCAAACAGAAACTGTATAATCAGAAACGTGCTAAAGGATTTAGGGGCCTACAAAAATCTATTTATCAACTCTTATAAAGCTATGCATCTTACACTTGTTCTAGCTATTTCCTATCATGCATAAAAAGCTATATATTAGCTACAGAAGTTCATTATTGTACAATTTTTAACAGTCCCTAGTTTGCAAGATTAATTATTAGTTTAATTTGGAAAATTTTTTAAATTGTCAATAGCAGTAAATTTCCTTGGCTTATAATCATGTTTAAAATTTCTAAAAAGGTTTGGAATAACAGTTCAACAACTTTTCAACACAAATTTGTTTGTGAAGCTTTTTTCCCATTTGATCCAAGCTATCGAATTTAGTATAAATAAATAGTTCAAAAATGATAGAAATTTAAACAAATCTATAAATTTTTCCCTTTTTTCAAAAAAAAAATTAATTCTTTAGAGCAAGTTTAGAACAGTCTTATATGAAATGCTTGAAGTTACATTAGGAACTTAGTAAATAAGAATTGGAGTGGCAAGACACAATAGCTTTTGATTTCTATTTTTTAATTTAAACTCTTGTAACAGCTTTGCATTATAATAGCTTGCATAGTAAATTTCATGTTGTGTGTCTAGACCAAGGATAGATGATATAAAAAAAGCGTGCACGAAAAAAGAATAATTTAGTTTCATTTTACCTGAAAGACACCTTGAGCATCGGCAGCTACTGCTGCATGCAAAGGGGTACGGCCAGTTATATCTGGAGCATTCACATCAGCACCATTATCCACCAAACTCTTGGCAGCATCTGCTCTTGAGTTCCTAGCTGCCAAGTGAAGAGCTGTTTCCCCTAAAAACAATTTAAATATTTAGTTAAAATACAATGATACTTCGGGCTTGCTTGACATATTTTATAACAATCAGTACTTGTAAGTATAGCTTATACTGTTTAATAACTTATTAGAAGCACAATTTTGCTTTTCTTTATTTTTCAAAATTTGACATAAAACCTAAAAAAAAACATAAAAAATCTATTTTTGACAGATATTTATTAAATATAAAAAATATATAAAATTTATTATTTTAGATTTAAAAAAAAAACAAGTTATAAAACCTTCAATTTTGTTTCTTAATAATGATGAAAAATGTAGTTTAAGATAAGAAATAAAAAGCTAGAAAAGTACAGTCTAAATTTTGAAGGCCTAAGAAGTCCTAAAATTTCCTTTAAAATATGAATAAGAGCTTTTGAAATAGCAACATTTTCTAATGCTAAAGAATTTTAATCATATCTCAATCATTTCTAAAATTTAATTGCTCCATAATTAAATATTTATTGTGCACATTCTAAATGCAGAATCAGGATACAAATTTCTTCAAAGTTTGAAATAAATGTTAAATAGAAGAAAATAACATAGGAAATATCATATAAAAAATGACCCAATACCAATAAATAAATAGAATATTTAGGAAAAAAAAACAACCTCAGAATTTCAAATAAGAAAAACAGCCTTAAAATGAATTAACAGGAAATAATCGGAAATGAATTTAAGCTTACAAAACTACTAAGTTATTAAAGAGAAACAAAAATTTAAATATCATCGATGAAAAGATAAATTACTAAAATAATAATAAGTAATAACTTACTGCTTTTTTCTGTGACTGCATTTACATCTGCTCCTTGGTTAATTAAATCTTGTATCGTATTTCCTCTGGATCCATCCTCATCAGAAGTACTTTCATTATCATAGCCATCTTTTCTATGAGTTGTACACATTAAGGGTGTTAATCCACCTAAAAAAGTATTTTTTATGAATGATTAAATGTTTAACAATAACCAAAAATCACATATCTAAAACTCTTAATGACCAATACCAATTTCTATATTAGAAAATTTACATCATACTAAATCTTAAAAAACAAAATACAGAAATCATTTTAAAATAAATTATTTGTAGTTTTAAGCCTTTTGCTAGTTTTCAAATTTTTATTAATGTCTATTGCAGAGACATATCAATTGCCAATTTAAATAGCAAAATCCAATAAATATTTGAATTCGCACTCTGTTGATATCTTGGTATTCATTTCAACTTAAATTTTTTCAGGATGCATAGCCAAATTTTTCAACGAAAAATAAGCACTTATTATTAGTGCTATAAACATTTTTATTAGTGCACAAAACCTATATAACTAGGATATGCGCACTAATAAAAAATGTTTCTTCCTATTGTTGAAAGTTCTTGATATATATTAACAAAATGGAAAATAATTTTCAAAGAATTTACATGATTATGTTAAAATGACTAGTTTCTGACAAAGAACTCTTTTCTTGATTAAATTAGCTACCATAAAAACAATTTATGCACACTTTAAAATACATTCAATATTGAGCGGCACATTTTATTTTTTAAATTAATAATTAATTTAATTACGTAAAAAAATTAATTCAAATTTATTATAAATTCCAAGTATTATTTAAAAACGTTATGGAGTATATATTTTTTTAGATTTAAATATAAGTTTTTTATTAAAGCATATACAACAAAACATTGACAAGATTAATATTATTGATCATACTGATTAATAGTTTACAACTGAAATTAAGAAGAGAAAAAAAATTTCATTTGCTATTAGGGAAAAAAAATTGGCAATGTATAGTTGGTCCCAGTGATCAGTAAAAACTCAAGAGATTTTTCGGTTCAATTTCAGAGGGCAGAAAATGAAGCCTGAAATTGAGAATGTCTTGCAAAATGCAACAGAGTTGCACATGAGAGTGCAAGAATCCTTCCCACTGAACCAGCTCAGTAAACACACATGCGGCCCAGGAAATATTTCATCTAACATGAAAAATGATTGCCGGACCAACGGTAAGCTGAAATAGATTATGTTTGAATGGATTTTGAAAACGTTCAACAGAACAATGTGAAAACCAAGGTTTCTGCAAAATTCGTAGCGAAAATGGATGTGGGAAAAAAAAAACATCTTTTGGAAAAGGGAAAATTAAGCATTTTTAATAAACACCCAATGAAAAAAACACCTTTAAGGGCTTTTAAGAAACGATAATCAAAAATGAGCAACATTAAGCACTTTTTAAAAATGCTACGCACCCTATCCTAGCATGAACGAAGATTCATTGGCAATTATTCCTGTACAGAAAAAATTCACTGTACATTTTTCAAGCAGATGACAGAGAATTGAAAAATATGATTACATGAAATTAAAAGTTCAGCAAACTGCATAATATATTGTCCTGTGATAGGTTGTGTTATTCCAAATAAACTCTTTTTTTTTTCCCTTGAAAATGAAAACATGTACTAAAAATTTACAAGGTACGAAACGATGAGAAAGATTGGTGCCTGAAACGCACCAAAATCGTAAAATATAAATAAAAGAAGAAATAGAATAGACTTAAAAAGTAATCTCTTTTTGAATGGAAAATACCATTCAAAATAATTTTGATATTGACTACTTTTTATAAGGAATATTCAACAAATAGTTGCAATACTTACCAGGACCTCTAACATTCACGTCAATACAACCATGATCCATGTCATTCTCTCCTTGAGGTGGTGTTAAGGCTAATATGTCAGGGTTTCTGATATCAGCAGCATCCAAGTGTTGTTGAGTCCACTTTCGAGAATCGCTTTCATCGTATTCAGGAGGAGCAAGAGAACTTTGGCTGTCACCAAAACTGTCGTCTTGAGATTTGTCACTTTTTAGTCTTTTCATGGGAGGGTGATCCAGAGCATCATCATCACTCCATTGATCAGAAGGGAGAGAAGGAACTGGTGGTGGACACACGTTTCCATTCATGCTGATATCTACTCTATTTGATGATGCCAACTTGTTTAAATTTCTAAAAATAATAAGTAGGAATTGATCAGTAAGAGAAAAGTCATTGTTAAAACTGCAGTCTAGATAACTTTGTTTTGATGACAGGAGTATTGTACTTTAGAAAAATATTTAAGATAGTTTTTATTCGATATAAAGTTTTTAAAAAAAAAAATTATTAAAATTTTCAATAATACAAGTTAAACAGTTTCAGAATTACTCAGTCCGCATCATAATTTTAAAGAATATAATTTGAGAATTATGTAATTAGCCATTATCTCTTTTTTCTAAAATCATCGTTTTTTTATGAAATAATTACAAAAAAAAAATAAAGAAGTAGTTTGTTTTAAAGTTAAGGTACATCAAACTTTATAAAAATTATTACCTCAAAAAGCTGTTTTTATTTTGATTTTAAGCACTTTTTTTTGTATTAACTAAAAATGAGCTAATATAAAATTTTATTAGTTTTTGAAAGTGTTTTATAATAAAATTAGGCTAATAAATATATGCACTTGAAAAATAGTTTTATATACCTACAACAACAAATATATAAAAACCATAGTATATATTTTGAGATTATGATATAAAAATTAGTTTTGTTTACGAGTGACAAATTTATAATGTAAATAAAAATAATTAATAATAAAGAAAAGTAACAAATCTAAATTATAAATAAAAAATATCTATCATGAAATCACAATAAGTGAATGTTATGAGTTTTATTACTATATTAATAGCTCAGTTCATTAATGGCAGTGTTTCTGAAATTGAGGATTGCGACCACCTAAGGAATAGACAAATCGGGGAGGTTGCAAAATTAAAAGTAAGATAAGCAACACATTTTATCAGACTCAAAACAAAAATACATTTTAAAAAATTAAAGTAAAAGTTATTATAGTATTACTGATTACATTTTGCCGATTCATCTATATATTTAAGGGGATGGTTTAGTTTTTTTAACCATTAAAAGTTTGCTCATTTGGGTTTCCATAATAAAAACAGAGTTTTTATTATGCTTCTAAGTGATAACAGACAATTTCTGCAATTAGTTTTTAATGCCACAGTAGACAAAAAGCCTTTTTCAGAAAAGCAAAATGGCACAAAAGGAATTAATATTTTCAAGGCTACAGAACTTGTACTTACTTCAATAGGCAAGCCAAAACTTATTTAAAGTACAATATGTAACAGCTTCAAGCAAGAAGTCTGAAATTATTTTATTTTTCCTTTTTTTTTATTTATTAAGGGTTCAATGATGAAAAGAGGTTGGAAAACACTGATCTAAGGTAACAATCACTACTGATAAAATTGAAGTAAAACAAGAAGAAATATAATAGAAAGTACGCAACAAACCTCATCTCTTGCCCATCTGGTCCTCGACGATGTGAACTTCGTTGTTGACTTCCACTCGTTCTAAAAAATCCCTCAGGAAACCAAGTGATACCTCTCACTTTTTTGCGCCTACTAATTAGAACTCCCATCAAGAGGCCTATGAGGCAGATCACAACAGCTATGCCAACATAGTAAACCATATAAGGCCTACTTATCTTAACAGCAACTGTCGAGTCAGAGTCTTCTCCAGAAATGTCTTCAAATTGAAAAGCAAATGCTTGACGGGCTTGAGTCGCCTTCAAAAAATTTGCAGCCTAAGAGAGATAAAAAAAACAATTAAATTTTAGGGAAATATATCAAATCATGACACTAGGTACACATAACTATGATTGAAACATTTTACTCTTTAATGATTTACAGTTATGAAAGGCTTACTTTGGTTGATGATTGAAAACATTCAGCTGCTGCAGTTTTGGTACACCTTCTGTTGTCAATTTCCATCACAACTTTAGTTCTGTTTAAAGAAAAATTATAAATAATTTAACATGGGAAAACTATTCAACATAAAACTCAAAATCAATGAAAAATTAAGGAACAAAATTGTAGCTCTTCTTGTAGCTCCTTAACAGATTATTATAGGGTTTTTAAAATCAGAGAAACAATAATCTATAGCAAAAATAAGGTCAAAGCACATTTTAATATTAACATTAAAAAAATTTTTTAAATAAATGTTGGAAAATTAATTATGAAAGTTTTTTTCTTTAAATAAAAAGTTTAACTCAATAAACTTGTTTTATCATCGTTTTCTGTCTACAGTTACTTATTTAAAGAAAGTATAATTAAAGAGCTGAGAAGATGGAAGTTTTAACCAATGTAGCATTACAAAATATGTGTATATAATCTTGCGTCAAATTCCCAGGACTAAAATCAAGACAAACGAAATATTCCAATCATAACTTAATAACAGCTGGTGTTCAAAAAAATTTAATTTCTTTTTTTGTTTGTCAATGGGGAATTAAGTGGCATTTCAGTGAATTTAAATAAAATTGCCTTAAAGATTATATGTTGACAATAAGATATAAAGATCATCATTATTTCGCATCTGCAAGCTTCAAACTGTTAAAATGTCTAGAGCTCATTTTATTTGTCATGGCAAGCCTCTACACTTTTTTTCTATAAGTCTTAATCTCATATCATAAAACTTTTTATTAGTTTTGAGAAATAATGTTTTTAATTCTACTAAATTTAGATGTTCTGGTGCATTTCTTTTGGCATACTTTTAATTCAGAAGTTATTTATGACAGCATATAACAAAAGTATAAGGTATTACTTACCCAGTTTTTGGATGCTTCTTGTGATGGTGACTGACAGCAATATCTTTTGCTTGCCAGCGATAAACCATAGGATTTCCATATTCGTCCTTTTTTATACGGACAATTGTCCTTAATGCATGGCCAATCTCTCGCAAGAAGGATACAGAGTTATTCATGAAAACCTAAAAATTATTATTTTATTAACACATGATATAACAATAAAAATCTGATGATTGTGATAAAATTTATTAATTGAAGATTTTATTTAAATTTACATATTTCCATAAATCTGAAATATGATAAACTAAGACGAAAAACATTTTTTCTAATCTAATATGTAATGTAAGAATCTTTATGTTTAATTACAGTTTTTTTTTTTTTTTCATAATGCAGTACAATTTAAAATGCTATAGTGTTGCTCAATAAATTATAATTATTTTTTATAACCCATTACAAAAAAATGTTGTATTCTTAGTTAAATTTTTTTAAAGTTACATTATTTACATTGTCTGAAAGCAATTGAAGCTCTTTTCAGAAAAACTTGTATAAAAATTAATTTTTACTTCATAAAACAGTCTCTAAACTAGCATATTTTTTATGCAACTAATTTAATTATTTAATAAAGATTTCCCTTAGCATAATAACATATATTTTGGCTTCATTGTTCAATATATTGTACAAATTAAGTTTTAGAATTATTTCAAGTAACTCATTATAAAAACAATTTATTTTACTTTATAGATTTCATACTGATATAATATTAAAAAATTACATCTTAACTTTAAATAACCTTTTAATCAAGACAATTTTTCAGGCATGGCAGTAGTGGCACAAAATAAAAATCTTTAATTAAGTTTAAAAATACTAGCTCCTTATTTGATATTCTCACAAAATCTCACTCTAAGCTCATTTTTTCATACAATCAATGTTAAACTAATAAGTTAGTTATCTCAAATTTAAATAATAAATAACAAATAAGTTTTTCCTTAATGTCATCTTCAAGCTTTCTCCTGAGAATTTAATTCTGTTCTCACATTTAAGATAAATTTCACTCAGCTTAAATTCAAAAATAAAATAAAAATGTACAAAATATTTTTGGGAAAAAAATACTAAGCATAAGTATAGATATAAAATCTCAGCATAAATATAAAATATTAAGCATATTTTCCTCGTGTTAGATTCGTTGAATTGTAAATAATGGACATCATTAACCATTAATTATACTTATTTTCAATATCCAAATACAAATAAGACTTTCATAGCGATTTATACACAATGTTTTCACACAGCATGAATAAGTTGATGTTTTCATATTTTATTTAATATAAATGTTACTAAAAAAGTTTAAAAATCAAAAAACTTAAAAACAAAATATTTCAAAAAAATTTAAATAAAATATTAAAAAATAGTTATAGAATAATTACCTCAGGTTCCATTAGAACAATTGTAACCAGTGAACCATCAGCAAGCATTGGTGCCTCCGACTCGCAATCCAAACCATCCCAGTTACACTCTTCATTATTACATCCATAATCACAATACCCATTAGCATAGTTCTTAAGACAATAGGTGTCATAATGTTCACTAAAATACGTAATTCAGAATAATTAATTATTAATATATATATATACATATTGAAAACAAATAAAAATTTTAAGTTTCTCCAGATATTTAAATATTTAAAAAAAAAAACTTTTAAATGTTAAGCCCCTACACAAAATTGCATTGAAACATGAAAGACTAAAAATTACTTTCCATTTGAATTACAAGGAAAAATCAAATTTTCAATGCAAGCATATCACCTTTAAAAATTTTTGAATAAGCTTGAGCTAATAATCAAAGGATTGACAATTTTACAGTTGAGAAAAGTTTACACATGAATTTAATTTTTAAAAAAAAAATACTTAGTTTAAAAAGAAAATCTCCTTTGAATTAAAAAAATAAAAAATTTATAAAGAACTGATTGTATATTAAAACTGCTAAATCATAATGACTAAGTTATCAGTGAATCTCAAATTAATTGTTCAAATTTAAAATTCAATTTAAAACAATCTATGCAGCTACATTTTAGGTACTTACTTGCATGGAAGAAGCTTTTGTTCACAATCAAAACCATCAAAAAGACAGTCAATATTATTACATTCAATGTTACACTCATCATTTCTAAACACATCCCAGCAGTTAATGGGAGCAGTACAATTCCTCCAAGGATTCATTCCTGTAAAAAAAGTCCCAAATAAATTTAGTTAAAAAGTACTGTAATGTTATTTTATTAAATAAATTAGATTTAACAAATTTAATTTAATTTTATTAGTTTGGTTTTACTAATCCAATTAAAGTAACAAAAGCAAAAAAGTTTAAATTAAATTATGTGAACAAATTACAGCATGATTAATTTGCAGAACAAATATAATCCAATAATACATACCCAAAGAGCAGTCACCCCCATCATAATTACATTCTCTGGAATTGCATTCTTCATTGCATTTTCTGTTTCCTGATTTCTTATAGCACTCATTCAACTCGCATAAATCCACAGGATCAATGTCATTAGCTCTCATAATTGTAACAGGTTTCAGATATAATCCAATTCCTCCATTAAAAGAAGAATCAAAGACACTGCAACGAGCACCGTTCCAATTTGGAGGGCATTCACATTCATATTTACCTAAAATTAAATGTAAAATATGTAAATAACAAGACAAATTCACTTACATTTTTTAAATATTTTTTTTAAAAAATAATAAAATTTTAAAACAATATTTTCTCATTTACCCTCAGCTATATTGTACATAATTTAAACAAAATGACCAACTCACAAAGTGGATTAAACTAAGTCTGGCAAAGAAAAAAAAAAGAGAAAGAGTATTTCAGGAAATTGCAGAAAAAAATGGAAATCAGAAAAAAATATCTAATGGTGTATTCTCTAGAGAGATTATATAAAATCAACTACTTGTAGAGAGATTTCTATACAGATAAATGTGCCAAATTGAAAAATGGCCACCTGGAATCGGCGAGAATGTGGAAATGGCGAATGAGGAACTAAAAACATTGAAACTCGAAAGTGTAAAATTAAAGGGGAAAGTCATTGCATGTATAATTTTTCAATAAAATCCAATTGCGAGAACCAGGCAATAACACCTTCGCAAATGCAGTTCATGTAGCTAAGAATAAACATGGGAATTTCCTCCATTTGTGAGCCTTTTATTCATAAAAAGTATTTTTCCTATCTGCTGAACAGAATTCTTTATAAGTAATATTTCTCTAAAAACTCACTCATTCTACTAATGATAAAAGAAATCATGACTATTTAATTTGTAAAAATGCCAAAATCAAAACTTGATAAAACCAAAATTTTAAGCATTTCAATTACTTTACAAATTTAAAATTATACAAAATACACCAACTTACCAATTCTATTATGACAAGTTCCGCCATTCATGCATGGAGATGAAAGACACTCATTGTATGTATCAATTTCACAGTTGCTACCTCCTGCACCATTTGGGCACACACAAGTGTAACTATTCTTTCGCACTCTACACTGTCCACCATTCTTACATGGATTAGCAATGCATGATGTATTAGCATATGCACACGTCTCCCCATGTAAACCCTAATAATAAAAAAATTCAAAGTTAAATATTACAGAATACTGAGATTTATTTTTGCAATAACTTTTTGGTATTACATTATTAAAAAATCTCTCTATTCTAAAAAAAAGTTTTTGCAGTTAATTTTGTCCCCTGAAAAACTTTTTAACTACGTGATGAAAATCTAAGATTAAGGAATCAATTCATTCAGAATCTTTCAGGGAAGACATTTAGGGCATTCAAATCTTTTACATAATTTTAAATTTTTATTTATTTTAGTTTTAAAGCACGATTTTGCAGTTAATAATGAAGAATAACCGCCGTTCACAACAGCCAATCACATGTCTGAAAACGGCAAGCTTAAAAAAGCGATTTACAAGTCTGAATTTTCTTTTTCAGAGATGCAACCAATCACAAAATAGTTAGAATTTCATTCTTCAGTTTTACAACATCTCAACTTATTTCGTATTGATATATTGATTAATCTGATTATTTGTTTTCTAAAACGTTAATTCGTAAGTTTAATCTGGTTTTAAATCTTAATTCGATTTGTTTATTTACAAGTAATGCCTAAAAAGAAAAGACCTAACATTACTAAAAAGTCGCAACTCAATGCGAAAGCTAATCGAAAGCGGGAAAAACGTAAACTTCATTGTATAGAAGAAAATAATGCTCTTTTGCTTATACAACCTAATGATGATTCAACTAACAAAAAAAAAGTTAAACTAACAAAGATTGAGCTAAAAGAGAATGTGTGTAATTGCTACACAGTCGCAACAACATCGACTTTCATTTGCCCACATCAAACCAGACCTGTAAATACAGAAAATGTGGTTGGAATGCACACTGTACCAATTCGCTTTCGCAATGTTGACAATGATATGGACCAAAATCCTAATCCACCTATTTTAAAATCAAAACAACATGAGTTTGCTGGTGATTTATCGAAATTGTTACCTATCAAGTTTAATATTGAAATATATGAAATCAAAGCATTCTTGGTTTTGCGAAGCAAACCAAGCAAGAATTGCGAAGCAATTCTCCGGAGGTTGGCGAGCGTCAGCGAGCAGGGGGCGGAGCCCTCTAGTCTTCTAAAAAACAAAAATAAGTAAAAGCAATAATAAAAATGCATAGTTAAAAACGTTTTTGATACATCTTAATATGCTCAGAAAAATAATATGGTACAAAATTTACATTGAGAGACTATAGAATATTAAGTCACCCTAATGAAGATTAAAATTTTTCTAAAGTAAAATATTTAAGATAACAAAATAAAATTTTAACTTAAAAAAAAGTTTTTTTAAAAAATAATAAAACATTGGTGTCATATTTTGTATTTCTTCAGTACATTTTAATAAAGTACTTGAGTTAATATATAAACTCATAACCTATTACAGTATAGCACATTTGTTGAAAGTAAAATAATAACAGCTGTTGTATTAATATATGCAACATTTGACATTTCTTCTTAATTCTTATTAGTTTAATGTTCATTGATTTAATGAATTCAATAAATACTTTTTAAAAAATTGCAAGAATATGAAATAAAAAAAGTGCTCACTTCAGGACAAATGCATAAATATCCTTGTCCAGTACCAGTACAGAATCCTCCATTCAAACATGGATTTGTGGAGCAGAAGTCAACTTTCAGCTCACAGTGTCGACCCATGTAACCAGATTTACAATCACACCTGTAGTTATTCACCAACTGAACACAGTCTTGTGTACCAGACACATAGCATGGATTTGACAAACATTCATTAACATCACCTTCACATCTAAAAGTTAATAAAAATAGACTCATTAAATACAATTTAAAAATTAAAGTTTTCTCTGAAATATATTTTAATCAAATAAGCATTTGAGTCCCCTTAAAATCAATTTTCTTGTTGTAATTCAATCAGAAAAATGTATATTGAAAAGAAACCTTAATAAGAACTTTGCATGTGAAATATTTAGTTGGTTAAAAGAGATGATATTGCCATTAATCAAGAAAGCAACAAGTACTTCTACATATTATAAAGAAGTTACTAAAACATAATTCATTCTCTTTTTCTCTCTATAAGTAATTTTTTTTTAATTCAACCACTAACATTTAATTAGAAATAGTTTTTAAAAAAAAGGTTTTAACGTTATAATAAAAAATAAAATAATTTATGTTTAACAAGTTACATTTTTTACCAAATAGTGGAACAATCTTGTATATTAAGAATTACAAAAAGTTTATTAAAAGTTCAGAAAATTTTATTCATTAAACAAATTAATTCATTCACCAGATAAATATTTTTTCCCCTTAATTGTAACAAAATATCAAGTCAGTAGATTATGCACAAAAATATTATATTTGCTTTATTTTTTTCATTTGTGAACAACAATAACAACTAACATTTTTGGAAAACTGCAAAAAAACATTTGACAAATAAATATTCCATTGAAAAATAGCATTAACAACTTAATAAATTCAAAATATATCATTCTTTACTGACCTAGGGCCAACAAATCCAGATGGACATTGGCATTCATAGTTTCCAACTTTATCAATGCACGTTCCCCCATGATGACATGCTCCATCAAAACATTCATTCACATTAATTTCACAAAGCACACCTTGAGTTCCATGAGGACAGGAGCAAACAAACTTATTTACTAAGTCATGGCAAGTTCCACCATTACGACAAGGATTTGGTACGCAGTCATCGATATTGTGCTCACAATTTCGGCCTAAAATAATTTTAATGAAACTTATTCAATTTATTTAATTCAAATTAAAATTATACTAAAGAGCTAAATTCTAGTTTTAAGATTCGAGCATTAAAAAAAATACTTAAGATGAACATACCTTGAAAACCAGGGGCACACGTGCAAGAATATCGGCCAACAAGATCGTTACATGTTCCACCATTTTGACATGGTTGAGATGCACATTCATTGATGTCATGTTGACAATAGCTACCCTCAAATCCATGAAGACATATACACCTGTGACTATTACCATGATTTTCACATCTACCACCATTCTGACACAAGTCTTTTACATCAATTTCTGAAAAATAATCATTAGTTAAAAGTTTAAAATCCACTATATAAAACGAATTATGAAAATAATACATAAAAAAATTACAACTAATTCTTAGTGGCATTTATAACAATTCTGTTTTCAAGTGTGACTATTTTAACAATTAATATTAAGTCCTTCACAGTACAAATTTTAACAAATTACTTTTAAGATGGTAATTCACATTCAATGTGAAGATCAACTAAAAATTGAAGTGATAAAAAGTGCAGAAAAATATTTGTCATAACACATAATAAAATTATAACAAATTCTTGATGACACTTATAACTAATGAATAGTTATTATCAAACTTAAAAACCATTTTTAGGATTGGAATTCACATTTGATGTGAAGATCTACCAATAATTGAAGTAATAAAAAACACAGAAATAAACATTAAAAAAGCGTAACTTCAAACTACAAACATTTTAACACTGTCATACCTGTGAACACAATCACTTAATGAAATAGAATCATCAAATGGAAGCCAGTTTTAGTATTGCTTAACTTGTAACATAGGTACACACCCCCAACAAACCAAAAACAATAAGGTCTTTTATTGTATGCAAATAACCAAATTTCTGATAAAAACTATAAAAATGTCCAATAAAAACATCACATAACTAACACAAGGTTAACTGCTTTACAACACTGAAGCATAAGATGAAGCAATTATCCAATGATCTTTTAGATATAAGACAACTTGATGTTGATAATTTTTGCAAAAAATTTTATTTATAAGTATAAAAATTACATTTTCTTCGCTTTTAACCTTCCTTGCAAGATTTCCTGTATCAAAGAACTGATTTCTCCATGCTATTAAATAGGAAAATACTGTGTAACTGGAAAATTTCTATACACTTTTACCAAGGGCTCAGTGCAAAGAAGGTTAATTACAATCAATATTTTAAACCATTACGTAATTTACTGAAAATAAACAGAAAAGTTCAGAGGAAAAAAATTTTTAGATAATTTAAATAGTAAAATTTAACACAGAAAGCCAAAACAACTAATATCCTCAAATTTAATATTATTTTAAAATTGGCAACAATTAAGATACATAAGACATTAACATAATAAAAAATTACCTTTCTGAAGAGCAGCATCGTTACACGAGACCATACTAACATCACAAAGAAGACCAGTCCATCCAGGTTTGCAAGTACAAGCATAGGTATTATTCACTTGTTTACAAGTTGCACCATTCAAACAAGGGCTTTTACTGCACCAATCAACAAAGTTCTAAAAAATATTTAGATAAATCAATTAAAAAGAATTTTATATAACATAACACCATTTCTTAATAAATATTATGTTCAATTAAACAGAGTTAAATTTTACATTACTTAGTATTATTTTTGAAAAATAAACTTGTTAAGTTATCCTACTACATAATTAACAAGTATGTTATTATTTACATTTAACAACAGATAAAACTTATGATTACTTTGGCACTTTAAAAAAAAAGTAAAGGTATTTTTAAAAAATGCAATTTCAAACATTTAGAAATATTACTAACACAGCTTACAAGTAAATCATGCTTAGATGTAAGACACAATAAATTAAAAATACTTACTTCGCACTGACGCCCCGTATATCCAAACTGACAATGGCAAGTGTAGTCACCAACAAGATCAACACATGTGGAGGCATGACGACAAGGTTTTGAATCACATTCATTGATATGATATTGGCAGTTACTTCCAGTGTAACCAGGTGCACATCGACAAGTATAATTATTGATGCCATCGACACAAGTACCACCATTAACACAAGAGCTGGAAGGAAAAAAATGAATACTTAACTAAAACTTAAAGTTCTTTAAAATGTTAATACTTCTTTATTACGCACTTCATTTAAAAAAAGAAAATAAAAATTATGATTGTATTAAAAAACTTAAAATAGGTATTTATAAATTCTTCCCACAAACAAAATGCCATTGTATTAATTAATAATTTTTTTGTTCTAATAATTCTATTAAATGTGAATCTAAATAAAATCTTATATACCTTCTTTTGTCATTACATTTATAAATTTTATAAATTATATAAACTTTAAAACAATAATAATATAATTAACGAATAATAGATCTTTTATATACATAAATGAAGAAATTCCTAAATCAAGAATCAGTTTTGAGTAGTATATGAAGATATATATAAAAGATTTTAATTTTAAATCAATGACCATTACAAAATTTAATGAGTGCAAAAACAAGAAAATTTAAAAATTTTAAAAAAAAGTAAAGAAAAAGAAAAGAAATTGTACCTTAAGTTACAATCTTCATCATTGGTTTGACAATTTGTACCACTGAATCCTAAAGGACATGTGCAAGTGTAACTATTGACATAATCGTTGCAGGTCGCCCCATTTTTGCATGGGTTGTTAGCACACTCATTGATGTCAGTTTCACAATGATCACCTCCAAAGCCATCAACACAAAGGCAAGAGTATTCTCCAATTCCATCCAAGCAAGTTCCACCATTTTGGCAAGGAGCTATAAAGTTTTAAGGCAATATATTACATTTCTAGCAAAATTGTTCTTAATTATAATTGATTTGAACTTAATTATATTTATTTAAAGTTTCTTAAAATCTAAAGAACATAAATCAATAATTATATTTTTTATAATATTTATTTATTTTTCATAACATTTATTTTTTCTAATTCTAAAAACTTCAAAAATAGTTCTTATTTGCCAATTCTACATTTAGATATTAATTTCATTTATTTATGAATTTATTAAACCTTCCAAAATTACATTTTTATCCAAGTTTTCTATTAAATTAATTAAATATAAAGATAAAACATGATAATGATATTTTCATCTATACTTATCATTCTCAACAATAAAAATTATCTTTCGCATTTCCTCTCTGACTTATTATTCACATCTACTAAGCTAAATAAAATTTTAATTTTGATTTGAATTTACAATTAAATTTCAAGTCTCAAATAGTTTATCTTTCGATTAGACACATTCTAATAATATTTATTGCAGCAAAAAAAAAAAAAAATCAAGATAATGCAAACAGCATAAACAAAACTAGTTCATATGCAACTTAAAAAATATTTTTGTAAATGCAAACTTAGATAAAGAGTTCAATTTCAACACTGTGATTAATACTAACATAGTGCACAGTCATCTGTGTTTATCAAACAGTGTCTTCCTTCAAAACCTTTTGCACATGAGCAAGAGTAAGAACCATTGGAATTGATACAAGTTGCACCATTTCGGCAAGGAGAAGAAACTGCACACTCATCAATATCTTCATCACACAAACGACCTTGAAAATAAAAATCAAACATTAATAAGCTTTTATTAGTAAAGATAATTTTTATAAAGGGGAAGCAAGAAAGAGATGTCATGATTTAGTGCCTACATAAATCTTATATGTTTTTGCTAATAGTTGATTTTACTAGGCTTTCTAACAAAAGCATTTTATTAAAGGTATATTATCATGAGTTCTAAAATAACAACCTTTGTAGCACATAAAAACATGGTTAAATAATAATGAATTTGATTTTTAAAAAAAATAAAATGCAAATTAATTATTTTCCCCTTGATAATTAACTGTTTTCCTACAATATTCTTTTACTGAAAATCTTCTTATTTCTTTCCCTTTTATCTTATGAATTAACTACAAAAATCCAACTTTCCTACAATATTATTTTTACTTATTTTAGTTTCCTTTTGTGAATAACTACAAAAATTCAAAATAATATTTCTAAAATATATCCTTATAAAATCAATTTTTTTAAATTTTACTAAAACTTGACTCTTGATTGCTCATTTATAGGCTTAACAAAAATTTATGCAATGTATGAAAAATTGCTGTAAAAACATTAGCTCCCAATTTTTTATTTTTTTTTTTTAAGTTTTATTATCAACATCAGTAATAAAACTGATACAATATGTATAAATAAAAACGTAACACATAAACAACATACCTGCCAATTTTTACGCTCGTCAAAAAAGTTTTTCCCAGTGGTACAGAATCACCATTTCAATGGAGATTGTAATTTAGTGTTTCATTGAAATTTGGATAACACACTTGAACAATTTTACCAAGAGCCAGCAGGCTCTAACCATATATATATTTAAATGTAGTGGTAGTCAAAATCATCACATTAAATCACATTTATTCAAAATAAAATAAAGTGTGGATGTATAAATTTTGCTACCACATTAAATATAAAACCTTCCAGAAAATACAGAAGTATTGGCAGGTATGTCACAGTTATGTTTATTCTCTTATACATATATTATCCTTACATATTATTCATACATATTTTATACATATAAAGAATATAATGTTCATTCCATGCAATAATTTCAGTTTAATCTAAATTCACACATAAATTTTAAAGTTTCTAAATTAACCTAAAACATTAAATAAATATGACTTACCTGTATAACCAATACTACAGCTACAGGCAAAATCCTGATAGTTAGAGGATGGCATGCACCTGGCTTCATTCTTACATTTGTTAGGACTGCATGGATCTAGTTCCACTTCACAATTGGTGCCGGTATAAGGAACTTCACAAACACACTGAAAAGCATTTACAAGATCTATGCATGACCCACCATTGATACATGGTTCCATAGCACAATCATCAATATTTATTTCACAGTTTCTACCAGCGTAACCTGGCAAACAAGTACAGCTGTAACTAGCAAGAGAATCTCTGCAGCTACCTCCATGTTGACACGGGTTTGACTGACATTCATCAATGTCAATTTCACAGCGATGTCCACCATAGCCTATAAAACAAGTATTTTTTTACTAACATTATAACAAAAGAGCATGATTTTAAACAGTAAGATAAGTATCATTTAACAACTACAAATGGACATAAATGTGAAATAGACATTGATGTCTAGCATGATCAAAGTCTATTTCACATGTATGTCCATCAGTTTTTTAAAAAAATTTCTATTCATATGAAAGCTACATGATTTTGAACAGCATCTACACTTAACTAAAATTAATTAACATTCAAATAAAATATAATTAAAGTTTAAATAAATTTCAAAATGTTAAATATAAAATGTTAGTAAAAAATGTTAATATAAAAAATGTTAACATAAAAAATTTTAATATAAATGTTAGTATAAAATTTTAAATATAAATAAATGTCAAAATGTGTGAAAAATATTTTAATGTCTTAGTCCCCAAATCCTAAAAACTGTTAACAAATAAATAAAAAAACATTTCAAGCAATTAAAACTGACTACTGTGTTTAAATAAAAATTCTACTACAGTAGGGAACCGATTATCTGGAACGATCGAGACCATTGCTATTCCGGATAACTGATTTTTCCGGTTTTTCTGAATCGCTACAAAAACCCGTTTTTTTTTTTTATTGTTAAACCCAAGTAAAAATAAAGTATTTGGAAATAATCTTAAAAAGAAGAAAAAAACAATGAAATAATACACTAATGATTATTTATAAAATGATGGTAAGGTAAACATCTTTCAAAAAAGAAAGAAAAATCCCAAAATCTTACAAGGAAAAAAAAAAATTTTAAAAAATGGCGGGAAAATTTATCGAATTTCGTTCCGGTTTTCTGATTTCCGGATAACGGGTTCTGCACTGTATTATTAAAGCAAAAATAGTGATTTAGAGATAAATTTCATTTATAATCTTGTTTTGTAGTGATTTACACCCTCTTTATTACAAATTATGTTGAATTTATACCTAAAATCTGGAATACCAAAGGTACTTATTTTTAATTGAGTCCCATACCAATCATCCATCATGTGATTTGTCACTTGTGTCTCTGAGAGGAATATGTGAATTTATGGTAAAAACAAATATTACAGAAAACTGTGAACCAATTTTGATAATTTTTTAATTGACATTGCTGACTAAAACTTTAAAATGTGACCTGATTATTTATAAAACATTTTTTTTTTAATTATATTATGTAGATTATAAGATTTTAAATGGTTATTATATCAAACAAAAATAATCTCACAAAAATTGGAACACAATAATCAGTGTTTCAGCCATAAATTCTCCTCCCCCTGGAGTAAGAATTACCATAGAAAAATAGATCATACACAGTTGAATATGTGATGTATTTACTAATTAAGTCATTTCTTTCATTTCTAGGTAAATAAAAATTTATCGAATAAAAAATACTACATCTTTTTGTATATACAAACAAATATATAATACCTGCAGGACAGTGACATATGAAACGATCGATTTCATCTTCACAAGTAGCTCCATGCCAACAAGGATTGCTAGCACATTCATTGATATCAGATAAGCATCTGGCACCATAATACCCCCTTGGACATTCGCAACGATAGCCATCTATTAGATCAGTGCAAATACCACCATTTGCACATGGGTTGTTTCTGCAGTCATCAATATTCTTTTCACAATGGATACCTACGGAATTTTACAAAAAATAAACTTATCTTTTTTAATTCAGTGTTTTGTAATTATTAAATTTCAAATTTTGTAATTATTAAATTAAATTTCAACTATGCATATAAAATAAGCAGCTATCAAACGAAAAAAAAAAGATACTACATATGTTGATGATATTAACAAAAATGAACAAAAGCAAACAATGCATGCTTATTTTCACACCACCATTGGGGATTAAATTTTAAGTTAAATTGAGAAATAATTGACTACTAATCACTATTAATTATTAAAACTACATAAGGGATAAAAAAAACTATACTTAATAAGTTTGAATAATTATTTTCATAACAAGTATTTCTATTACAAATATCTACGCGAGACATTGAAAGCACACATAAATACCCTATTCAACCTTTCAACAACCTATTCATACGTATTCAACTTTTGAAAAGTCCCAAAATTTCACAAAAATCAGAGAATTGACTTAGACAGTCGGACATTTAATTATCATGAAATATCGATTCATTAAAAGCAATAAGATAGATATGAATAACTCTGGTTCAATTTACCCCTTCAAAACTATTTTTAATACTTTAAATACAATTAATTTTGCCTTTTCTCTCATATTTTCTTTGCATTGTAAAGAAAATATGATGAGAAAAGCTGCAAAATTGATTAACATATAAAGAATTTTTTAGAAACAATACTTCAGAAAAAAATTCAGTTCTGAAAAATATAAATATATCATTCATAGTTCAGAAAAAAATTAAGAATGAAAAAAGTTAAGATAATTAATTCAAGAGTATTTTAAAAAATATATAACACAATGTCTAAATAACAATGGGTCTTAGTTTATCGTTAATTTGTAGCAATAAAAGCTTATAGCACATAATTTGTAAATATTTAAAGCAATTGAATAAGTTTATATGAATTTACAATTTTTTAAAACAATTGTAAATGGTTTTACAGTAATTTGAATTGTTTGTAGCATTTTGATTTTATTTATAGTAATTGTATATTTCTTCAATCGATAGTGGTTAATATTACAAGAAAATTAGAATTATAGAATTATTAAAATTAATTTGATATTTATTACATTTTTAAATTTTTTCTTTATAATCACAATGTTTATCAAACTGTTATTAATTATGTAATATACTATTATAATTACATTATTTTTATAATTTTCAGTAAGAATATCTTCATAAAAAAATTTTTTAATCTAAGACTCTTATATCAAATTCATTTGAAAAAAAATTTAAAACTTTATTTACCAGTAAATCCAGCTCTACACTGACAGGTATAGGAATTAATACCATCTTTACAAGTAGCTCCGTTACGGCAAGGATTGCTTGAACATTCATTAACATTGTATTCACAATTAATTCCTGATGTACCAGGGAGGCATTTACATTGGTAAGCATTTATTAGATCTTGACATATTCCCCCATGTTGACATGGGTTACTTAAGCATTCATTAATTTGCTTTTGACAAAGTTTACCAGTGAAACCTCTATGGCAATTACAATGGAATGAATTGATACTATCGACACATTCACCGTGATGGCAAGGTGAGGAAAGGCAATCATTGATGTTTATTTCACAGTTGGTGCCAGAAAAGCCTACAAATTTAAAAAGAATAAGGTTTATCATAACATATAATTTTTTACACACATTTTTCAATAGTTCACTAGTGAATTATGAACTTTATTCACATGGTTCAGTTTATAATGATATCAAATTCATCCCCATGGCAGAATCGTGGGGACACAGCGACATTGTTGCAGAACATTTCAGAATTCTTGCAGAAAGATTATTTATTTGGGAAGCAAAAAAGTTTAGTTTTTTTTATCTGCAGAATTTTTCGAAATATTTTTTTCGCACAGCTTTTTTTCCCCTTTCTACAGAATTATATTAAAAAACTGCCTAAGTGGAATAAATGCTTGTGATTTTTTTTTTCAACTTTCTTTTGAGAATAAAAAAAATTCCGCACTGACTGCCTTTAGCTAGAATTTCAGATTGATATTATAAAAAGTAATTTCCAAGTAGCAAAAATTTAAAAAGGTTAACTATTCAAATATTTTTTAGAACAGAGGAATATTGTCAATAATATTAGAATATCTATTCTTATTATAAAATTCTTTTGTAAAATCTGTATTCTTTTTTATAAAAGAATATCTCTTCTTTCATAAAAAAAAATTCTTACATTTATAACTAAAAAAATATTTATACTGCTCTATTCTATACATAAAGGCTTTTTTGTAAAAAGAAAGAGCTTCTGTTACGTTAAATTAGTAGCATATATATTTTCTACAATTAAAAATGTTTTTTAGAAAGATATTAGTACTAGAGAGAATTGTTGCAGAAAGCTCAAAAAAATTCTGCCACGGGGACATTCATTTTGATGGAAAACTGGATTTATTGCACTAATTGCAATTAACCCACATGGAAAATTTAACAAGATAAATTAAATCATATTCTTTTTTTTTTTTTAGTTTAAAATTCAATTTAAAAAAATAAGTGTTTTTAACATTTGATATTTTGGTATTTAAAACTTGATGAAAATTACAAATTTCTCATTTTTAATTATCTGATATTTGTAAATGCTAGTAATTATTTGAAAGGCCTCTAATATATATGAGTTCAAACGCTTTAACAATTCATTTCATCCATTCTAAAAATTTATTAGGGTAGATAATTAATCTTACAATTAGTTAAAATATTTTTATTTACTTTTATAAACAAGCACTTACTAATAATTAATTTTATTGACATTTAACAGAGAATAAAAATGCATGCTAGAGCTCAAACTTCAATACATATTTTTACATTAAACTAAAAGATAAAAGAACATACCTGGTGGACACTGGCAGTTGTAACTGGCAATAGCATCAATGCATTTGGCACCATTTTGGCAAGGATGGCTCATGCAATCATCTTCATTCATTTCACACTTCTTTCCTGAGAATCCAATTGGGCAGAGACATTTATAGCCATTGATCAAATCAGTACATATTCCACCATTTAGGCAAGGTCTTGGTGCACACTCATCAATGTCTTCCTCACAAAATATTCCCGCAAAACCTGCAAAGTTCAGAAATAATAGATTTAAATTATTTGTATGATTTATTAAGTTGACAGAAAAAGCAGTTTTAAAGCATTATAATAAAAAAATATTTTTAACTTTTTCAATTGCAATTAGCAATGTATACCAAATCGTTTTTTTTTTTTTTTTCAAGCATCATCTTAATTTCAAAAAATTTCTAACATTTAATATTTTCACTAAAAAGATGATTAATGGACAATACTAGAAGTACATCATCACTTTGTAATGCTGCTTATCCAATATTAAATTGGTAGTAACCAATATTTAAAAAGCAGTTTCCACAACAGACCATTGTGGGCTAGTGGGGCCATGAATGTTATAACTTCAGGCAAAACATGATCGAGGCAAAATGTGGTCAACATAGGGCACTGGCAGCCTTTATTTACCAAACAAGTTGGTATACACTGATGTGAAGCTGGGTGAGCTTCATGCTGCCACCATGGATTGAGCCACAGTTCTTCACAATGACAATTCAGTGCCTTAACAACTGAGCCATCACAGTTTCCCATACACACTCATTATAAATTTTAAAAAAAGGTTAATTAATAAAATGTGAATAGAATGAATATAAATATCCTTAAAATGTCTGGTAAATATAACCTATTGAAAAAAAAAATTTGAAACAAATTGAGCAATGTCATTTTGTCTATTGCACCTAAAAACTCATTTTCTATCATAAATTAAATGAATAATCATCCAAACAGAACTATAAGTCAAAATTATGAAAATTTGTAATAGACATTTGTAATAGTCATTTTGTCTATTGTACCTAAAAACTAATTTTTCTATCATAAATTAAATTAATAATCATACAAACAGAGCTATAAGTCAAAATTGTGAAAATTTTTAATAGACATACATTGCATAGGGATTTGTGATATGATTAAAACATAAAACATATCATTTTTTTATAAGAATTCAAAATATATTTAAACTAAATTCATAAGATATTCAATAACTTAAAAAGAAATACAGTAACCACAAAATTAAAAATGATATTTCTCTCTAATGATTCATATTTCTTAACTGCCTAATTTACATACAATAGGCAAAGTTTTTTATTTGACTTGAAATGCTTAAGCAATAATTTGTAATGCGAGACATTCAAAATAAAATGCAATGGATTTAATAAATTCAATATTTTTAAAATAAATATTCTAATCCTTTGATTTTAAGTTTAATCAAATGACAAAAAAAATTATTATTATTTTGAATTACTCAAGGTTACTAAATTATTGAACTTATGTTAATTTTTCATTAAAAACTTCTTTATCAATGAATCTACTATTTATAAAAAGGAATATTTATTTTTTTCCTCATTGTGACACTAAGATTATAGTCTTTATAATTGCTAGTTTCCATCTTAATAACATAGCTAGAATTGATAGAAACCTGTTTAAGTTTGAGTGATCAAATGACAAACAATTTCAAGGGCAGAAGTTCAAATAATGTAAAATTGCAATTCCCACCAGTGTGATTTTAACAGTTTATTGGGAAGGGGGGGGGGGAATTAGGGACTTAAGAATTGGAAAAAGGTCATTTTCTGTCAATTCAATCAGCCATTAATTAAAAATACATAACACTGTAAACCAAAAAATAACTTTAAAAAAGGAGATAGTTGATCCTTTATTTAAAAACAATATTATGTATTTATTTTCAAAACAATTATAAGCTTTAAATTTATTTGAATAAAGCTTGAAATAAATATAACTTAATTATCAGGAAAGAAATTTTCTTACAGACTTTTTAATTTTGAAATTACGTTTCGATTTTTAAATTGGCCAAATTACTTGTAATTTAAAAGTATGGCAATCGAAAAGGTATCATAATCTGATAGGTATCATAGCTGATAAGTATCAAACGATTTTAAAAGCGCATTACCTTTAGAGGTAACTCATAACTAGAATGTACAACTGAATTTTTAAAATTTTCGGTCGACTATAAGCCTAATGGTAACTAAGTTACGATTATGAGTTCTGACGAGTACAAGCTATCATCCTACAGTAACTAACTGTAGGTCGATTGACGGTTATTTTTTAGTTCAGTCGATTTACAGTAATTGGATACATGTAAGTGAGTAGGTAAATCGAGGTATTTTTCAATTCAGAAATCAATCAGGTTCGATACACACACGTGACGTCGCTTACAGGTATTCAATTCAATCCGATTTAAATTAAATGGTTGGGTACAATCATTTCACTTCTGCCTGAGTAACAAGTACTTTATCAAATGCTTAGTAAATTGGGTACTAGCACTTCAAGAAAATCACGTATACCCACCAGGGTTTAAGCTGAGTCTAAAAATTCATTAGCAAAAAAGCTAAAATCTGAAAAAAAGTTTTAGCAAAATGCTAAAATGCCATTAGGCTTATAAAATTACTTTATATCAAACAAGTACTGTAAGTTATCTGACAAAGAATAGCTTAATGTACAAGAATATCAAAAAGAATACCTATAACAAAAATCATTGTGCCATTC